ACCCACGCGTGGGGTGCCGGGGGGGGGTCCCCAATGAAACAGGCGTGTGACTGTCTCACTGTTGGTTGCAGGGACGCTGTCACACCCCGCTGCCAGCCCTGTCACCCCCGTGCCCTCGGAGGCTGCTCGTCCCGCGGGGGAAGGTGCCGGGATGCCGGGAGAGCAGCCCCGGCCGCACCCAGCCGGGAGCGGGGCACACGGGTGAGTGAGCGGCCGTGGATCCCAAACCACGCAGCCCTGAGCATCCCTCCGGGACACTGCAGGGTGCTGCTGCGCTGAGCTCCCCGGCCCCAAAAACCTCCCAGAAACCACAATGCGGGGGATACAACGTGCCCGTGCCTTGCTGTGGGTTTGGGAGAGCTGCGTTTCACCACAGCTGGTTCTGCCAGGGGTGTTAGAGCAGATAGAGGTGTTTCACTGGTGTCGGGATCTCCTCTTTGGAGGAAAATCAGGCGATCCCGCCAGCCCCGTGCCCGGCACTGCACGTCCAGCCTGGCAGGAGAATTCCAACGTGGTGCTGGGTCCTCTGAGCCCATTGGCAGGATGTGATGCCTTGGGGCAGAGCAGGGGACTTCGGAGGGGTGTTGAACCCCTGGAGTAACGGAGAAAACAGGGAGGGAGCCCTTCGGGTCACTTTGGGTAGCGACAAAGGTGCGTGTGCGGGGTCACTGCTGCTGGGAGGCGGCTGCCCCCGATCTCACCAATGCACCCCAATCTCACCAATGCACCCCGAACTCACCAATGCACCCCGATCTCACCGTGCACCCCAATCTCACCAATGCACCCCGATCTCACCAGTGCACCCCGAACTCACCAATGCACCCTGATCTCACTGTGCACCCCAATCTCACCAATGCACCCCGATCTCACCAATTCACCCCGATCTCACCGTGCTGGGGCTCTCAGGGCTGCCAAGGCGGGTGCAGGATGCACCCCCAGCCCAGAGGCCACTGCAGCATGTCCTGCTGCCGCCCCAGACACGCCGTGTGTGACCACCACGCCTCTCCACCCAGGGAGCCGGGGCAGCCCGTGAGCCGCAAGGGCAGCAGCGCTTCGGCGTCGGGGCTGAAGAAGCTCCTGTGCAGCCTGAGCCAGAGCACCAAGCAGCGCCTGGGCCGCTTCCGCTGCTACAGCATGGAGCAGCTCCCGGCTCCTGGAGGCTCCCCGCCGGGCGGCCCCAGCCTCAAGAAGTCACCGTCCCTGCAGTCCCTGCAGCTGGTGAGCTTGGACATCGCCCCATGCGGGGAGTGCTCATGGGGAGACAGGGGTGGCACAAGGAAAAGGATGCTGGGCTGGGATGAAGTATTCCCCAGTAGGGATTTATGGCTCGGGCGGTCCTGAAGGGGTGTGGGGGGATATGCCACCCCAAACCTGTTGGGTGTGAAAAGCCCGGAGCCAACTGGGAAGTGGAAGGGGAAGGAGGGAGAGAGGAGGGGCAGTGGAAGAGCAGATACGCTCGTCCCTCCTCAGCAGTGAGTTGGGGAGTCCGCAGCGGGGTGGGATGTCCCAGTTTCCTCCACTCCCTCGGCACATCAGTGGGTGAAGCACAGTGTTTGTTCCCATCTCAGCCAGGTGTTTCTCACCAGGTGTCACCCTTCTGTCAGCCCCAAAAAGCTGCCTCTACCCAGAGCCTGCATGTCCAGCTGGGCAAGGCACCCCGTGCCAGTGCCTACCTCCTGCCCCAGACCACGGCTGACAGGTAGGATGTGGCCTGGCACATCCCTGTGGTGCCCAGGAAGGCTGTTCTGGGGTGCCTTGGTGGCTCAGTGCAGCCAGGGGCTGCATCACCCGGTCTCCAGCAGCTTCCCTGGTCCCCACTCACCCATCTTCCCTCTCCCCACAGGAAGGGGGGCTCAGGGCCGCAGCGCTCGCTGAGCGTGGAGGACATCGGGGCGCCCGGCCAGCTGCGCGCGGTGGGGCGCGTGGTTGAGGTCTTCCCTGATGGCACCAGCCAGCTGGAGCTGCAGCGACCTCCCGACGGCGCCTTCGGGTTCTCCGTCACCTCCGGACACGGCCGGCCCGACACAGGTGTTGTGCGACCATCCCAAAGCTTTGGCACACCACGGTCCCTCCAGGGTGGCTCTGGTCCCACCCCGGGGGCGAGCTTGGGCACGGGTGGAGGGGGTTGCTCCGTTGCTGCTGAGCCCCAGAGGGGTGATGAGGGTGGGGGGACGCTGCCACGTGTGGCTTTGCCCACGCACAATCCAGCGTGTCCGTCAGCACTCGGCTTGGGACAAAGGCTGTTTGTCACAGGTTTGTTTCTGTGCAGCCCCTGGGCGCTCTGGGGGCAGGAAGGGCTCTCAGCCATCCCTGTTCCCTCCTCAGGTGTCTACGTGCAGGAGATGGCGGATGCCGGCACAGCCAAGCTCTACGCGGGGCTCCTGGGCGTGGGGGACGAGATCCTGCAGGTCAACGGCGCGGCCGTCTCGGGGCTGGGGCTGGCCCGCATCCGCCAGCTGCTGCTCCAGGCGGACACCCTGGCCCTGCGCGTGCTCCGGCACCGCCCCGCGCCACGGTAGCCCCGGCACGGCTCCTGCGAAGCCTGCAGGGAGCAGGAGGCTGTCCCAGTGTTGGGAGAAGGACGATGTCCCGGTGATGTCCCAGGATGGCGTGGCATGGACCAAGCTGCCTCACAGTGCCAGGACCTGCCCGGCTCCACAGCAGTGGGGGCAGGTGGCTCTCCTTGTCCCCCTAGGACAGAGTGTGGGACCAAGGACACCCCAGAATCTCTAGGAGCTGCCTAAGTGTGGGGGAGAGGGGACAGCCTGGCCCCAACAGAGCTGGGTGGGTCTGTCCTGCTGGGCATGACCAGCATGGGGACACCCCATCTGTGACCCCAGGAGACAGAGGGCTTCCTGCCAGCACTGCCACCTTGTGCTGGAGGGCTGATGAGGTTCTTTTAAATTATTTCAAACTGAAAAATACATCTCTGCAATAACAAAACAATGCCCTTGGCTTGTGGCATGGAGGGGCTGGGGTGGTACTTGTAGCCCTGGGGCCTTTGCTTCTTGTTTTCTCATGGCCCTGCTGCTCCACCAGCCACCTCCTGACCCTGCTGGGGGGGCCCTGGGCAGGCAGACACGGGGCTCAGCCACCTGCAGGGCTCCTTGGGGGTTTTTTGGGATTCTTTTTTCCAGCCGTGGAAGGCAAAACACGTCCTTGGAATGACTGTCTCCAGCAGCAGTGGCATGGCAGCAATGGCTGCCCTCTGCACAGTGGTGCCCCACATCTGGGTACAGCTGTCTGCAGCAACCTCACAGCTGGGCACAGCTGCCCACAATGCTGAGGTGACCCCAGAAACTGCAGATGCTGCTTATGCCTCAAAAACCAGGAAGGTGATGCCTGGCAAATGCCGGTGGGAGAGCTCTTCCCACTCCCTGGTGCCAGCAGACCCTGAGCTTGTCCCGGGAGCAAGAGTCAGGCAAGAAGGAGCGGAGATCTACGCTGCTGCACCTTTATTTAGTGTTAAAGGGAGGGGCACCACCAGCGACAGAAAAGCAAACGTGTACGGGGAAAGGGAGCAGAGACACTCGGGTGGCTTGTGGTGATATCAGCAGCTGGGCCACCCTCTGGACTACCAAAGGAGCAGTCCTGCATGGGAATCGTTCCCGAAGGATGCACAACCACGCTGCAAGTAACGCGGGGATCAGAGGTGTGCAAACACCGGCAGCGAGCCCCGCTCCCTGGCCAGACCCGCGCTCCCGGGAACCTGCTCTTGGAGAGGTACAGACCCACGGAGTGGCACAGACACCGCTACAGCCAGCCTTGGAAAGCAAACAGCACCCATCCCTGCAGGGATGCTCTGCAAGGATAAGGAGCTACTGGAATCACGAGCGCGGGTGGGCGCCGAGGCACCACGTGTGCGTTACTGAGGAGCACCCGGGCGGGCGGGGAGGCTCCGTCCAGCCCCGCCCGGCTGCGGAAGGCACGGAGCCGCCGGCTGAGCATCCAGCGTCTGCGGGAGGGACAGGGGGGCCACCCAGACCTCGCAGGGAGCCACGAAGCCGGGGGGA